CAGGGTCCTCGTATTTTGTAACAGAATATCGGGGCCCAGTCCATGTGACGGCTGGTTCGTTCTGTTCCGCATGGCGCCAATACGTGTCAACTGAAGCCGCAAAATGGTTGTCACATCTCGTCGACAGGTCGAGGTCGACGCCCACCCCTTGTTTCGTCAATTTTGGCAGTTGGTTGGCCCGGGGGAACCGTGATGTAATCGATTCTGCGTTTGGGGCCACGCCCCTGGGCTCCAAGTGGTAACGGGGCCCCGTGGGCTCCAATGAACTGGTGGTAACATTGCCCGCTCTGGTTCTCAACCTCGGACGCCGCGTCTCCCGCGCGTTCTGACACCTGCGACCCCGGGGTCGCGCCGGCACCCAAAAGGCAATGCAGCGGTGCTGGCTGAGAACGACTGCTGACATCAGTGGCCGTGCTGCTCCACAAACGCGGTATCTCTGCGCGCGGTCGTCGAGAGTGTGGCGCGAGTCCAACCAGCACATCGCTGCGCGTGCCCGGCGGGCGTATAGCTGCTAATCGGTGCCGCGGCGAATAGCTCATCGCGCGTGCGCGTCTGCGTGCCAGGGCGCGTCCGTGCGCGTACTCGTGCTGCGCGTTAATCCAATGAGCGATTCCACCCTTTCCTGTAGATTATGCAGCTGCGGTGGGAACTATGAAATCGCCAATGGGTGTCCAACCATGTCGGCACAACCGAGAGTCTCCAGAGTGCCAACTATGTGGTATGGGCGCGTAGATTAACAGATGAGCTAGCACAAGCATGCGGACAGGCAGATCGAGGCCACCAGCATCCTGATATCGACGCCGAAGCCTGGTACGATGCCCTCTCGCATCCTCCCTGCGGGGCCGCAAGGTAAGCGCATTCTCCACTGCATCACTGGCCGGACGCGGCATACCTGACGTGAGGGATGTATCGCGGCACGCGCGAGAAAATCGAGCCGCGGCCAGCTGGTGGAGAAAATGCAATAGGTACTTCCAGGACAGGCGGGTCGATGTCGGGCATTTCGCAGGCGCCACCTCTCGAATGAACCCCAAGACCGTCGTTGGACTGTGCTGACATCCATAACCATGGTACATCAGCGGCAACATCAAGCAATACTGACCACGGTTAAAAATCGGCGTCAGTAGTCGGGGCAATGCCCGTGGACGCAAGGCGTGCTATGGTATCTGCAAGCTCGTTCAAAAGATGACCGCTGTGTCCCATAATGTGTTTCCATGTGAGAGTCGTGGACTGTCGCAATAACTTCAGGGCTTCGTCGAACATTGATGATAGGTCCACACATGACGTATATCGCGCACCCCCTGCGGCCGCTGAAACCACCAACTGGGCATCAGTGAACACTTCGACTCGGAGATCACACAACCTTTCAGGGGCTTGCAGTAACGAGAGGACCAGCCAGAGAGCGGCTTGAATTGGAGGTGGAAATGGGGGTTGGGCGCAGGGCCCCGGCAATGGTGTCTTTATGGGCCACGCATGGGCGACGCATCCTCGATTGCCATGTTCCGCGGGGGAACCGCTTGAAGCTCCCCGCCAGCACCCACGCGCCAGACTCGAGGGTAAAGAAAGCAAGGCGGCGGGGGTCTCGGGGAAGGAGACGAGAGCAACGCGCGCTGAGGGCGCACTCAAACAGGTTTGAATAAGCGAAAGCGGTGGGATGAGTGCAAAAACTTGCCCAGCCAATCTGACGCGCGGAACGCTGCGCTTCAGTTTTGGGGATCTTGAAGGACAAGGAAAAATGCGAATGCACATTGTGGGGGAAAACCAAAAGTCAATGCACAGCGCGGGGAAAAAGGACCATGTGAATCCAGACTTTTGGAAAAGAAGGAATGTGTGAGTTCGCATGTTGGAATTTTGTGCTGGACTCTTCATGAAGGGGCCAGAATGTGAATTCACATTCTGGGAAGAAGGAATATGTGAATTCAATTTGGAAAAAAAGAAGAGTGAATTCACATGTTGGGAAAATTGCGGGGCCCACTCCAAATCTGTCTCGGGGTCGGCCAGTCATCTTTTTGGATGCGACTCGATCGCCAATCGCACAATCACGACGCACTTGCATTCCACTTTGCCACCCCAAGCGAAATATGCAATACTGCCCGCGCGCGTGAGCGATCATGGATGGGCGGCGCGTTTGCCCGCGCGGGCAACGCGCGGGCACGAGCGACTAGCCCTCCATGACGGCCAACATTGGATGCCAACCATGCCCGATCACATACATGAGCGATACATTGAGCACATGGGCCATTCAGCCCCCATTGAGGGCTCCCTGTCGCAGACCCCTTCTTTCACCTTCCAATTGACACACGGGAACGCCTGACGGGCCGGCTACGTCGCATCTGCCCGCTATCGTAACTGAAAAGATGCACCATGCCCAAGATGGGGGTCCGCCCAGCTGGTGATGTTTGAACCCTCCGGACCCATCTGTATAAACTTCTGATCTAACAACTTTGTCGTCTACAGGGGGGGGGGGGCTCCGTGGGTCTCAAAAAAACTACGGCGCCGCTGTGCAGCCACGGGTAAAGAAGGCATCTCTCGGGCCCCCTTTGGGGCCCCAGAAAGAGCGGGGTGATGGGCGAATTGAGGGGGCAGGGCTGACGGGGGTGACTGACCAGCGAGCTGCATCTGGAATGGGGTATCGGGGGCGAGCTGGATCAGGCCCTGTCTGAAACTGCGATGGTGGCGGCCTGGCTGGGGAAAAACGAGCGGCGGGCAAGCTGCGAGATGCCATCTCGGGCATCTCGCTCGCCAGCGCTTGCCCGCCGGGCCGCGTCGCCCCAGCGTCGACGCCCCCGACGCGCTGCCTCCGCCATCCACGACCAGAGAACTATCCTCAACCCGCCTCGGGCAATGACTGTAACTGCGCCTCTGGCGACGGGTGGCCACTCCAGCCGCGTGATCTTCGCCTGCCTCAGCAGCAGCTTCAGCGCGTCCGACAGGCGCAGGTGGGGCAGCACCTCGACGACGATGGCTGGGCGCCGGCTCCTGCCGCGGCGCGGCCGCGGCAGCCGCGGGCCCAGACGGCGGGTCGGGGCGCGGCGCCGACGCGTCTGGGGCGGCGGCGACGGGCCCAGGCGGCTCGGCACGCGGCAGCGCTGCTGGCGCGGCCGCAGGAGCCGCCGCGGGGGCCAGCCGCTGCGGCTGCCCCGCGAGGGGCACCACGCCCAGGGCAGCCTCCATCCCTGCGCCAGGGGCCGCCGCAGCTCGCACTGCGCTCATGTTCACCTGCAGCGTCGACTGCAGCTGCGCGAGCGACGCGAGCTGCATGGTCAACTGCGCTTGTCCTGCCTGCAGCTCCGCGATGGCGGCGACGGGCGGCGCCTGGCCTGCGGGCGTGCCTGGGACTGCGCCTGTCGCCAGCGGAGTGGGCGATGCTGCTGCAAACTCCACGTTCACGTCGACGTCCGTCGGGGGTCTCATGGCCTCGAGCTTGTCTAGCAGCGCCTTGGCTCGACTGAGCGCCTGCTCCCGCTGCAGCACCTTAGCTTCCTTCTCCTCCAGTGTGGTTCGGGCTAAGTCAGCTGCGGCATGGGCCTTGTCGAGCTTCACCTGGGCACGTTGTGCGAACGCTGTCTGTCTGTCACACCTCGCGCCTGGGGCCCGAGCTGATATGATCATGCGCACCTGGACCGCGTACTCCTCCTCCTCCTCCTGTGGGCGCATCTGCTTGGCTGTCATGCCAAGCTCCTCGGCCGCCTGCAGGCGCTTGCCCGTGGCCGGCCCTGTGTCTCAACGATTTCCCATGGGCCGCCAGCTCCCGCTCATCTCGGGGAGGCTCTACCCACGCTGGATGGGACCGCGCGTTCAGTGGGAGTGGGCAAAATTCCCAAGGCTGGACTGCACAACTCATCCTCCATCTCCGATACGCGGCCTCCATCGGACCATCGTCGGCGAACCTCACACGGGAGTTGGATCGTGGCCTTGGCTCACGCGGCTGGCGGCTGCGTCGACGGCGGGACGCAAATCTTGGGCGGTCCTTCCTCTGTCGGGGCTCCTGTAACTGCTGGCTCGAATCGCCGCCACCATCTCCATGTGCTGGGAGACTGTTGGGGAGCGGCATGCACGTCCGGCACAGCAGATCAGCAGTTCCGTTCTGCATGCCACACGTCTGGCACCACCATCCTGGCGGCGGCGGGGAAACGTGCCAGGGGTTCGCTCTCCTGCGGTTCCGCGCCATTTGCCTCTGTGTCCCCCAGAAGGCCCAGTTTCGCCCCAGCCGCCACCAGCGCTCTTCCCACTCATGGGGCCTGCGCTGTGGTGCGCGCGCACCCTCGCCGCGGCGGCAGCCACCCGCAGCAGGGTGCGCGACTGCATGCGCCGCGGGCGCCCGTCACGGGGCGGCGCACGCAGCGTCAGCAGCACGGCTAGCCCGCACGCCTATGGCAATCCACAGCGCGGGCTGGCGCGTCTGACCGCCGTGCCCCGAGGAGGCTCGCAGCGGGTGGTACTGGGTACCAGGGCGCTGCACCCAAAGCCTCGAACTGGGACGGCGGCTGGAGGAGGAGGGGGAGGAAGGAGGAGTGAGTGAGGAACGCGGTGCGCTGTCTCTTCAAAACGAGGACCCAGCACCGCTGTATGCCTGGGAATAAGTGCCCCCAATGATGAGATACATCCCCAGGTCGAAAGTGTTTTCCTCTTGGCGCTGAACCTCACGGTCCCACGCGGTGCACGGGCCCTCTGGGAAACATAGCGGCGAACCCAATGTGGGTTGCACGGATCCGACTTTAACCTTACCGTAATCGTGAAATCGCGGCGGATCCCACTTCCGTGCGCGCAGGTCCCATTTTTGATTTTCGGGATCCGCGTCGGACCCTATTTTTTACGGCGGATCTCATTTCTGTCCCGTTTTGAATGTATAATATAAAATTCGCTCTGGGAGCCGACAAGAGTGGGACCCGTCGACCGCAGGCCACCCCGTGTTAAGATTCTACGGGAGACGGGGGTGGTCCTCTTCGACGTCAGGAGAAAAAACTTTCGTCCTGCGTAAGTATCCTGCCTCCCATGGGGGCCTTGGCCGTGGCGCTTTCCCTCCTGCAGCTCCCCCTCGTAGGTGGAGCCGTCTGGCCAGCAGAATTTGCCTCGCCCTTCGATGACGCTGGAGGTCATGCTGCCCTGGCGGGCGCCGGCCCCTGGTCGTCGTCGTCATCGACCTCCTCCTCCTCCTCCTCCTCCTCCTCCTCCTCCTCCTTTTCTCCTCCTCCTCCTCCTCTTACTCCTCCTCTCCTCCTCCTCCTCCTCCTCCTCCTCCTCCTCCTCCTCCCTCCCTCCTCCTCCTGCCTCCTCCTCTCCCTCCTCCCGCCTCCCCCTGCCTCCTCCCTACTCCTCCTCCTACTCCTCCACCTCCGCCTCCTCCTTCTGCTCAGCGCTACTCCTCCTCGGTGCTCCTCAGACCTCCTCCCCTGCTCCTCGGTCCTCCCCTCATTCTCCTCCAGTGGCATGGGTAGCCCCAAATCGGCCACTCCGAGGACTCGTGTCCTGGCTGCCCGGTGTCCTACCCCAGCGGGCGCAAGCCTAGGTTGGCCGAGACTTGACACAGGCGGGTGCAAACTTATCTAGGGAGTTATCCAACCGCAATCGCATCCAATCCTGATCATCCTCCTTACCCTCCTCCTCCTCCTCCTCCTCCTCCTCCTCCTCCTCCTCCTCCTCCTCCTCCTCCTCCCCCTCCCCCTCAGTATACCTTAGTCCTCTCCTCCTTCTCCTTCTCCTCCTCCCAGGGGTTGCTGAAGGTCTCCCTTGAGACTGGATCGAACGAACATGGCCGACCCATGTCAGACCTATGGGGGCAATGAACGGATCTACAGAACAAGGCAACTGGTTCGGTTCTTCGCCACCTTCGGCATCTGGGATTCTGGTCGGGCCTCCCCGGGCCGCCATAGAACTACAAGTGGCGAACAGCTGGTCCCCTGGGAAGGGGTCGAGAGATCGAGGTCGACGAATTTATAACAGGCTACAGATACGCTGTTTTGTCGCAGCGGTGGCAAACGCCTACCGACGTGGGTAGCCTAAACGGGGGCGCTGCTAGGCGAATCGCGCACGAGCGGGCGCGAGGCAGAAGATGGCGGCCACGGAGGCGGCGGCGCTCCACAAGAGTCCAACGAGGGTCAGACTGGGGAGGACTGGGGGCGGGGTTCTCCCACACCACTCTGCTCGGCACCTCGCTCCAAGCGGGGCACAAGCGGCAGCCCTGTGCAGGCACACGGGGTGCAAGTGCACCACCCGTGCGGGTGAGGCTCCACGCCAGGCGGCGGAGACGGCCGCGGAGGAGGAGAGAGAGGGAGGGGGGGAGGAAGGGAGGGGGGAGAGGAGGAAGAGGAGGAGGAGGAGGAGGAGGAGGAAGAGGAGGAAGAAGAGGAGGTCGAGGAGCCACGAGGGGCCTCGTGAGTGCTGCGGCGGCCTCGGGCTCCCGGCAAAAGCCCTGCGCCTCGGGCGAGGCCACCGCCCCTGTACGCGTGCTCGAGCACACGCGGGAGGCCCTGGAGCGCGTCGCGCGCCCGCGGGCCAGGCAGGAGGCCCTCCCCGACCGGAGGCGGCAAGGCCCGCTTTTCGGCTGGCGCGGCCGCGGCTTCCCTGCAAACGCTGCTCCTTCATCCGCCCCCTCCGCTCCGCCTCGCCCTCCGTGTCCCCCGCCTCCTCGCCCGCCTCCGCCTACCCGTCGTCCCGTCCCGTCCCGTCCCTCTCCTCTTCATCCGTCAGCTCCTCCTCCACCTCGCCCTCATTCCTCCTCCCTCTTTCCTCTCGTTCCTCCTCCCTCCTCGATTCTCGCTCCTCCTCCTCCTCGTCACCCCCCTTCTCGTCATCGTCCTCGTCCTTGTCCTCGTCCTCCTCGACCTCCTCCTCCTCCTCCTCCTCCTCCTCCTCCTCCTCCTCCGCCTCCTCCTCCTCCTCCCCTTCTCGACTGGGCGGAAACCTCGACAAGCCTGGCCACAGACACCATCCCGAGCGAGGAACGCTAAGAGAAAATATTCGAATCACGAAACTGGAGTCCCGAGCGGGATGATTAGGAATCGAACTCATCCCCCCGTTCCTCCGCCTCCTCCTCCGCCGTCTCCGTCCTCCCCTCCTCCTCCTCCTCCTTCCTCTCCTCCTCCTTCTCTCCCCCCCCTCTCCCTCCCTCCCCTCCTCCCTCCCGCCCCCTCCTCTCCATCCTCCTCCCGTCCCCCCCTTCCTATCCTCCTCCTACCCCCCCCTACCTCCCTCCGTCCATCCTCCCTCTCCCTTTCCTCTCCGCCTCCACCCTCCCCTCCTCCGTCCTCCCGCCTCACTCCCCTCTCCTGCCCTCCGCCGCCTGCTCCCTGCTCCCAGTTCCCCTGCTCCCTGTTTCCTTCCCCTGCTCCCTGCTCCCTGCTCCCTCCTCCTCCTCCTCCTCCTCCTTCTCCTCCTCCTCCTGCTTCTCCCGCTCCTCCCACTCCCACTCTTTCCGCTCCTCCCGCTCCTCCGGCTCCTCCCGCTCCTCCCGCTCCTCCCGCTCCTCCCACTCCTCCCACTCTTCCCACTCCTCGCACTCCTCCCACTCCTCCTCCTCCTCCTCCTCTTCCTTCCCTCCTCCTCCTCCCCCCCCCTCCCCATCCTCCTCCTCTCCTCCTTCGCCCCTCCTCCTCCCTCCTCCCTCCTCCCTCCTCCCTCCCCCTCCCCCTCCCCTCCTCCACCTCCTCCTCCTCCTCCTCCTCCCGCTCCTCCTCCCCCTCCTCCTCCATGTTGCATGTTGCATGCTTCAAAGGGGAGTCCGAGCACTCTTCGGGCCCGCTCGGGACCTCATTGTGAGATCATGTGGCCTGGCACCCCCAACGCCCGCGCGCAGTCCTCCTGCGACTTCGCGGCGAGGGTGCTTGGCCACTGCTGCAGTCCTTGCGGCAGCAGTCCTCGCAGCAGTCGTGACCTCGCCTTCTCCCCCGTGGTTGTGGGGGGGGGGCGAGGTTCCTTCAGCTTAAAGGCTCGAGTCGACGACGACCCCCCACACCTGCTGCAAAATGCGACCACGCGGATGACGTGGAGGTGCGGGAGGTGTGTCGCGTGAAACCACTGGGCGTGATTCGGGGTGCATGGGGATCCGAGCCAGGACTCCTTGGCCCCCCGAATCTGGTACTTGAAGCAGATTTTGCACCTGAGGCCCTCGGGGGCGTCGTCTAAAACATGCTGGGCATGGCCCCACTTCTTCGGGGCCTTAACCCGCCCTCGCTTCTTGGGGGCGGGTGGCGGGGCAGGGGGAACTTCCCAGAACAACTCCTGAACAGCGGCGATTCGATTCTGGATGAGCTCTATCTCACGATCTGCTTCTAGGACGGGGCGGGTCACCCAATCAGGAAGTTGGACTCGTGCTGCTGCATCTGTTGCAACCTGATATGCTAGCTGGTTCGCCAGGTATGCCCAGGACTGGATGTTATAATCCCAGAAATCAATCTCCGTGGGGTGAGACTTGGTCTTGTGGAACTCCATGGGCCCGTCGAAGCTCCGGCGGACCTCCCAGAACTCCCCCCATAGTCTACGTAACATTTATGCCGCCAGAGGGGCCCTCGTAGGACTCCACGATATACATATGCTGAATCTGCCACAATGGTAATCTACCCTGCTAGGTTCTGGACGGCCTTGACCACCGCGTAGAGCTCTCCGCGGTTGACCGCCTGTCTTCCTGGCAGGCCTCCTCTTACAATTCCCATGGTCTCGAGGTCGGAATCTTTAGCTGCTACCACCCAGCCAACTCTCCTCAGCCTCGGATCATTCGGAAACCTTCCTCCTCCAGCGTCGGTTCCAACCAAAATTTGCCCTTGATGGGGCCCCCTTGGATCATGAAGGCCCCCGTGGCTCCGAGGGTGGCTCTGGGAGGGTGTTGGTCCAGGCGTCCTGTCGAAAAGTCAGCTGGCTGCAGTCCTCGTCCCCATTTAACTGGATAGGATGGAAGCTCATCAATAGCCTTCTGGATGAGGTACTGGGAGTCGAGGACTGCTTCATCGGTACTGCGCACGTGCGCTGGGCATGTCCAGAGGCGGTGAAGGTCGTCCTCCACTGGTGCTCCACACCTGGCACATCGCGCTGACTGGCTTGGTTGCAGTCGTGTACTCGGGCGTTGGTCCAGATCGAGGCCTTCCCGAGGGCTTGAAGGGCGTTGGCTCGAATGGGCTGGTTATCCTTCCGAAGCTTCCGATAGGTCTTCTGACACTGGAATGCGTCGATCCCGAACTCGCCCCCCCCCCTCCAATATGGAAATGCGAGGCCCTTTCCCAGAGAACCCGAGACACATATTCACTGAAGTCGTCCAGGAAGGCCGCCTGGGCTCTGAGGTCTCCAGGAAAGAGCTTATACCGCTGATTGTCAGGAAGGATACATCCCCAGGGCCCCACCATGTACACTCCTAGGTCATGAAGGGTGGCAATGAGCGCGGAGAAGAGGGAGGTAGCCTTACTCCATCGGGTCTCACTTGCCAGACGTGCCACTGTAGGAGACCACCCTTTCCCGATTGCTTTGTGCAACTCTGGATTCTGGTTGACCATGCCAAACCAAGTCTTGACGACTTGCATGGGGAGGTAGTGCGCAGGATCCTCCTGCTGCTGTCCCCGTGCTGACAAAGCAAAGCCTGCCGTCGTGCAACCACGCTTGGGAACATATCCGAGTCCTCGGACTAGTCGCCCCCGAACTTGCTTGCCCCTGTTGGCGCAATACCTTGCCCCCGTTGGCCCCAGAAGAGCTGTGGACGGGCCCCCGTATTGACCAGCCTCCGACTCCTCTTAGTGGTCCTGGTGAGGTTGGTGATCCCTTTGAGCCTCTGGAGCCCCTTCTTGAAACGTTCCTTCCGAATCTTCAAGCGCCTCCGTAGCCCCAAGGTAGTGTCCAGGCCGAAGTCCCCCCTGGACACTGGTCTTGACGGCCCACCCCAACTCCTTGGCGCGCTCGCTTATCTTGACGCTCAGCCCAGGCACCGACGCGAGAACACAGGACTTAGGAGAGAGCTTGCAGCCATGGGCCTCGAGCTTCTTACCCAGGAATGCCATTGCCTCTGGAACCACCTCCAAAATCTCCTTACACGAGCCCCAAACTCGCAACCTCAGGTCGTCAACCCAGGTACGAAAACGAACTCGTGGAAACTGGTAGTGTAAATCTCCCAAGATGTTAAACAGGAAGGCTCGGGCGAGAGATGTTGACTGGGTGCAGCCTTGCAGGGCGCTGTCGGTCGGGCACGTGGGTGACGAGCATCCTAGCGAGGCAGAGGACAGAAATCTGGCCGCCTGATGAACAATCATGGCGTGCATGAGCGGGATGGTGGGATACTCAAGGCTGATGGCCACCCCGCAGACATACTCCGTACAAATAGTGTCGAACAACTTTTCGATGTCAACCAATGCCTCTGCGAGCGGCATCTGCAAACTGGTGACCAGCTCCGCTGTCACTTCACTCAAAGGGGCTGCTCGGAGGCACGATGATCCTCGGATGGCCCCATCCCAAAGCCCTGCTGTTTTTGAATTCCACGCGGTGAGGCCTGGGCGGTACAACTTGACAAGGATACGATAGAAGCTGTTGGCATGGGTGATGGGCCGATCGGCTTCGATACTCTTAGGGAGGAGACGAACCATATTCAGTAGCACCTGCGCGGGATACTTAAAGGTCGTCCGAACCTGATTGATCAGGTCGGTGAAGGCAGTCTTGCCCTCGGGCGGCAGGGCGTCGAGCTCGCGCGGGCGCCGCAGGTCAGCACCTCCTGCTGAGCTAGGGCTGTGCCTCCGAACAACTTCAAACACTTCAGCTTCTGTCCAATCTGGCTCCTGGGCAGCACGCTGCAGGGCAAATCTTCGGAGCTCTTGAAGCCAGGGAGGATCTTCAGGGCACTGGCGGGGTCCCTTTGGGCTCCAGTATTTCTCCCAATAGGTGAGCTTATGCTGCGTGATAAGGATGGGGTCATCGGTAAGGGTCCCATTTAGAGGTACCACATCTTGTTCTCCAGGAGGGGGAGGGGTTCCCTTGGCAATGGCATGTGATATCTTACCTCCTTTTTTAAGGCCCTCCTCGATCCACTCCTGGAAAGCCTTCCGAGACGCCTGATTTTCTTTCTGGAAGTGCTGAGATATCTGCTCAAGATAATCCCCAAGAGTCTGCCCTGCCCCAAGCTGGAAATTGGCCTCGAAAGCCTCTAGGTCCGAGAACTGGCCTGTGAACTACTCGAGAATGACATGTTTAATCTCGGGGTCGACATACTCTGGCCATCTAAGATCGGGAATAATTCTGTTCAAAAGCGCCTGCAATGCAACAACTTGTGCATGGGGCCCAGGGCGTCGCAAGAAATGATCACGATCCTGCACGCGTGCGACGATCGCCTGCCACCGGTTTGCGTCGCTGGTGGCCAGCCCCGTCTGGGGCGCTGGCGGCGGCAGAGGACGCCTGAGCAGTTGCGCACGCTGGCCTCGCTGCGGGGCGGACTGGGATCCCACCTTGTTGTGGGTTTCCTGCAGCTCCAGGGCTCGACTCAGGATGGCATACTCTCGGGTAATCTGCTTGCTGACATGCTGAGCACAAACGGGGTAGGTGGGTGTGAGATTCATGCTCTCCCCCTCCTCCTCCGCCCTCTCGTAATAGTATTCCCACGAGCGTTTGACTCCAGAGTATTCTTCGGGGAGAGGGGGGGCTCGACTGCATGCCAAAATCTCCTTCTGAGCGACTGCGCGTGCCAGAACTCCTGCCGCGCCTAGATGCGGTCTCCACGGGCCCTCCAGGACAGCCGCGAGGGAAGTGTCGAGGGCAAGACGCTCGTCGACCACAAAATAGTCCAGCATGCGATGCCCATTCGAGCACGTCCACGTCGTATTTTCTGGGGTTACCACGACCCCACGTACCCAGGAAAGCCACTTCATGGGTTTCTCCAAATCCTCAGGAACAACATTCCAGCCCCCCGCGATGAGGTAGGGGAGCTTCTGCGTGCGGATGTGGGTGGTGAATTCCATGACGATATCACGATTTGCTTGGTTCATCCCAACCCCTGAAATCAGATATACGGCAACAACCAAGAAATTCACCCCATCGAGTTTGATAATACAACTGGTCCATCGGGTCCCTAGTGCAAGGGGCTTGATGTGGCCCTTGGCTCCCATGACCCGAGCGTGGGAAGAGAGGTGAGATCGAACCCCAAGAAGGATCCCGCCTTGGCTTCCCTGAGCGGTGGGTGTGGCAGGGCAGACATATGTCTTCCAGCCACTATTCTGGAACTTTTTCCGAACATCACCATGTCAATCTAGTGTGAGGTGTGTCTCTGTCAAAGCACACACGTCTGCTGTGAAACGAGAGCCCAATGTATACTTCTTAGCGGTATTATTCCATGTAGTGATATTGGCGGCGTAGATTGCCAGTGGCCCTCCCTTCCCACTTGCGTTTCCCTTAGCCTGAGAGAAGGCGGGTAGCCAAAATTGGCAGCGTAATCTGTGTACGGGTAGTCGGCGATGGCTGCCTCACTATTGCTCACGAAAAGCATGGCCATCACGAGCAGGAGGAACTTCAGCTTCATCGCCGTCGATCTGCATGGTGTTCTCGCGCCGCGGGCTGGTGCTGCGCCGCTCTGGGGGCTGCGATGTGGCTGCGCGCCTGCCACGCCCGCCCTGGGCCCGCCCGCCGCTGGGGCCCCCGCTGGCGCCCGCTCCCATGGCTGCCTGGCGGGCAGCCCTCGCCACTGCGCCTGGGGCGGGCGCCGCGCCTGCCGCCGCGGGCCCTGGTGGCGCCAAGCCGCCTGGGGCTGGGGCGCCTGGGGCCTCGGCGGCGGCGGCTGGCGCGGGGGCTCCCCCTGCGGCCCCGCCTGGCAGCTGGATGCCGAGGTGCCCCGCGATGGCAGGGTTGGCGGCGAGGAACTGGGCGAAGATGCGCTGCTCGGCTTCGCCCATGGCCGCTGCACCCGCGACTGGGGGCGTGGGGTTGGGCTCCCCTGCCCCTCCTTCTGGGCGCACCATGGCCGCCCACTGTCTGGACTTGGCGGCGGCCGTCTCCTTGGCAGCTGCTTCTTGAGCCGCGGCGACTGCGAGAGACTCTTCTGCTTGCTCCAATTCTTCACGTAGCTGTTCGACTCGTTTCTGACATTCATCCTTGTATGCTGTGGCCCTCTGCATTGACCGCTTGGCGAGGCTGACTTGCTGCGATAACTGGGTCCCTCGGTCGGTACCCGTCTCCTCACCCTCATCCTTGCCTCCGTCAGCGCCCCCTCCTCTTCCTCCTCCTCCTCCTCCTCCTCCTCCTCCTCCTCCTACCTCCTCCTCCTCCTCCTCCTCCTCTCCTCCTCCTCCTCCTCCTCCTCCTCCTCCTCCTCCTCCTCCTCTTCCTCCTCCTCCATTCCTTTTCCTTATACATAACGTTCCCCGTGTCGCACCCCGAATCCAGTTTATAGGGCGTGCTTGGCGTTTCGCCTGAGACTCTCTCACCGCTTATGACCCTGAAGCTTTAAACGTGGCAACAGCTTCAAAGATGGAGGGTGAATGGTGTTCAACATGTGGCTCTCGCCTTAGAGCCACGCACATTCGTCATACGAAAATGCAAGAGCTTCACGGATTGAGGGCGGGTTTGTTTTCATAATGTGGCTCTCGCCTTAGCGCCGCGCACATTCGCTTGAAACATTTGCAAGAGCTCCACTGATTGAGGGCGGTTCCTTTTCAACATGTGGCTCTCGCCTTACAGCCGAGCACATTCGTTTTGACAGTTTGCAAGGGTTTCACGGATTGAAGGCGGTTCCCTTTCAAAATGTGGCTCTCGCCCTAGCGCCGCGCACATTCGTTTTGACAATTTGCAAGAGCTTCACGGATTGAAGGCGGTTCCTTTTCAAAATGTGGCTCTCGCCTTAGCGACGCTCACATTCGTTTTTCAAAACTTGGAAGAATTTCGCGCCGAGGACCATGTTTTGGCATGCCTCAAAGGCTCTAAACGGTTGTCTCCCAACGAGGCAGTTCCCTCAATGAAACAATGAACCGTTGTAGGGGCCTCTGAAGAGGGAGCTTGGAGGGAGGGTTCATTCCAACATCGTTGATGACTCTTGGGTTTATACTGGTCCTCCTCCTCCTCCCTCATCCCTCCTCGATCTCTTCGCTCCTCCTCCCTCCTCGCCCTCCTCGTCGCCCTCTTCCCCGTTGGAAGGGGCACGGCGTCGCTGGGTGCACGTCGGCTCCGCCGGGGGCCGCTCCCTCTCGAGGGGCGGGCGCCCGGGGGGCGGAAGTAGGGCGCTCGCGTCCCGACGCTGCTCATGCCGAACCGTCTTTGGACAGTCCCGCGGCCTGGTGGGCCGGGTGCTGCCGGAAGTGCCCCCCTGGCCCACGGTGCCCCCAGGATTTCCAAGGAGGCCCCCACGGCCTCCAGAGCACGCCACCACGAGACCCACGAGGCCCCAGGCGCTTCAGAACTGAACAAGAGGCTAGGGGCCCCTTGGGCCAGGGGTGCCCCTGGCACCCCCCGAGTGAAGGCCCCCAGGGGCTCAAAATTGCCCAAAACTTTCCGTCGCGACTGTCTTGCAACGAGAGGATTTCAGGGTCGTCGTCGTTGTCGTCGTCGTCAGCGGCGGCGGCGGCGTCGTCGTCATGGTCCCGACTGGCCTCGTAGGTCGTGCCCGAGCTCCAGACGTACTTGGCGGGCCCCTCAAGGTGCTGGCACCCGAAGCTGCCCTGGGGGGGCAAGGCGCGGGGCCTCCTCGGAAAAAAGCGACCTCCGCCTCCTGCCCCCGTCAGGAGCAGGAGACGACGACGACGACGACGACGACGACGACGACGACGACGACGACGACGACGACGACGACGACGACGACGACGACGACGACTCTGAGTTCACCTCGTTGTGAAACAATTGCGACAGATGGTTTTGGGCAATTTTCAGCTTCTGGGGGCCCTCACCAGGCCGCGGGAGTCAAAAAACGGCTCGGCATGAAACATGTCCTGGGGAAGGACCTCCAGGGGTCCAGGTAGCGAACAAATCACGACTTCGGAGTTTGCTGGTTTCCTGGAGTCTGTGGGGTCTCGAATGATCCAGGGGCCTATGGGGGGCCTCGGTCTTGGGGCTAGGGAGCAGGAGGGAGCAGGAGGAAGAGCTGTAACATACGTCCTCCATCACCCTTACTCTCCCATCTCCTATCTTCCAGGCTCTTGGCCCCCCCCCCCGCGCCACATCCCGACTTTTGTTCCCCTTCCTCATCCTCCCCCTCCTCCTCCTCCTCTTCCCTCTTCTCCTTCATCTCACGGATTGCCCCTCCTCCTCCACCTCCTCCTCCTCCTCATCCTCATCTCTTTCCACTCGTTATCCTCTTTCTCTTCCTCTGGAAAATCAGCAAGTACCGCTACTGCTACTCTCCGGGACCTCTCACTGCGTGCGCTCTGATCAAGAATTTGCGGCAAATCCAGCAGTGCCGACGAAGACCGGGTATCGGTGTCCGGATCTTTTCCTCCTCTGATCGTCCCTCCCCCTGAGGGGGGGACCGGCTCAGGGGGGAAAACATCGAACGTGAATCGGCGATATACCCAAGGCAGGTTGGAGCTAACCGCGGTAAATCTTTAGAACCCCCCTATAGGGGGGAACGAATTATCTGTTTGGCTGCCGTATTGAAATGCTGGGGTCCCACCAATAACCCCAGGAAGCATTTAAGAACCCCCCCCGGCGATATCTTAGCACCGCATTTTTATTCGATATTCCGAGGGGCCGAAATAACCGCACGATAGGTTTAGCACCCGGACACACAACAAATTCGCGGAGGCCTGGCCCCTGGGCTCTCCTCCTCCTCTCCTCCTCCTCCTCTCAAATCCTGCGTCCTCCTCCTCAGGAGAAGGCCCAGAGGGGAAACCCCAGGTGACTTGGGCCCTGGCAGGCCTTGGGCCCCGAGGGAAGGAGGGGGGCGCGGGAGGAGGAGGAGGAGGAGGAGGAGGAGGAGGAGGAGGAGGAGGAGGAGGAGGAGGAGGAGGAGGAGGTGGGGGCAGGAGGAAGTTCGTGGGTGGAGGAGAGGAGGAGGAGGAGGAGGAGGAGGAGGAGGAGGAGGAGGAGGAGGAGGAGGAGGAGGAGGGCTCCTGGTGCCAGGTAACGCTTCCAGGGTGCGGAAGGGTTATCGATTTGCCGGAAGGGGGGGGGGGTTCTTAAATGCTTCCTGGGGTTAGGGGGTACCATTTTATTGTTCTTTTTCCGCGGCACCCACAGCGCAACACCGACGACGAGGTAGAAGAAGGAGAAGAAGGAGGGAGAGAGGGGGGAGGACGCGGAAGACGTTCTAGGACCAGTCCTAGTCACCGCCGAGCGTAAAAGAGGGAGGGATCAAAACTAACGACATCCTGAGGTTATCTGGCCCGTATGTGGGCCGATACATCCCCCCCTGCGCCCACTCCCCCCGTTGGTAACGTTGCCCATGACGACGACGACGACGACGACGACGACGACGACGACAACAACAACGACCGACGACGGCGCCGACGACGACGCCGACGCCGACGCCGACGCCGACGCCGACGACGCCGACGCCGACGACGACGACGGAGGCAGCAGCCTGGGCCCATAGCAACAGTGAGCATGCCGAGGCTGGGGCAGCACCGCTCGCGCACGCGCGCCAGGCAGCGCACCACGCGGCGCGAGCCCTAACGCCGCGCAACGGCCGCGACGCTGCCGGGATTGGAACGAGGCTTTCGGGCGTGTTCATCGGATCCGTCGGTTATGAGGACAATCCTGGGGGCCTCGCGCGGCAGCTTGAAACCCGGTTGGCGTCGGGTCCACGTCGGATTTACGTCGGGCTCACGTCGGATTTACATCGGATTTACGTCGGACTGACTCCAGAGCATCGCCGCGCGAGCGTCGACCCACAACTTACGGAACTGACACATCGACTAGATCATACTGCTATTATGAGCCGCGCGAGGCCCCCAGGATTTCCCTCATAATCCGTCGCGCTTTCCAGCCTCGGGATGCTCGACAGCAGCTTCGCCGCGTAGAGCCACGAATGGCGGCGCGAAGAGCGGGCCGCCGGCAGACGACGAGAGGGAGCGCAAGGGGGGCCTGTGTACATTGACGATCCAGCAGGAACTAAAAGAAAATTGAGGGGAGCGGGCAAGAGTGCTTAGCTCCGTGAGGCGGGGGAACTGGGTTATTTACAGGATCCATGCCTCAGGCATCCGCTGAATGCTGCTGCACAATATGTGTGGCGCATTCTGGATTGGATTGAGCATGCATATGTAATCGGATCCGTTGAAAAACACAACTAGACGGAGAAAACCCAAGACTGTGGAACCGTTCGCTGCACTTTCAAAGGCCAACTTCAAGTTTGAAGACTGGAGAAGCAATTAAACAAGGCATACTCAAATCCAACCAGCAAGCCTATCCCTACATCGTAATCCCAAAACCCAATCCATCACCCGAATACGACTCCCAACCACCCGAAGCCTAGAAATACGGCCTCAAAGTTGCGCAGAATATGGCTCCACAAAACAATGAGCAATGCCTCGAATCTAGATGCTGGTGAGGAACCACCCGACGGTGCGCGCGCGCGCCTTGCACGTTTGGACAGTGTGATGGGCATGTGTGCCAACCCCCGCTTTCCAGGGGTGCAAATGCGTGTGAGATGACTTGCTGTCCCCCTCCCCTGGGGCCTGAAATCCGATTAGAGAGGAGGAGGGGCAAGGGGGGACGGGGAAGTGGGTCCCCGAGCTCCTCGACACTCCCCTGGGGCCTCTGGAGCCTCTATGCCTACACTCTGTGGACTCCAATATGCCAAAGAGATTTCATCTAAACTTGCTCAAGCTGGGCTCCAACACACAAAGGTGGCTTCCAAAACAGCTACGATAGCCAAGACGGCTCGAAAAGCCTCCAAGACGCCCCCAGGCAGCTCCAAGAGGACTCGTAGAGGGCCCCAAGAGGCCAAACAATATGCCAAAACGCAAAGGAGCACTTGCAATTTGATTCACTATGTCGGCTTCAGGAGCGTGCAAAGCGGCCCAAGAAGCCTCCAAGATCGCTCCAGGACGGCTCAAGAGAGAGAACTCTGAGTGGGCCCCAAGACGGCCCACGAGAGCCCTAGAACGACCCAAAGAAGCGCCCAAAACGACTCAAGAGGGTCCCAAAACAGTCTCCTCAAGAGACACCCAAGAGGGAAACATCGAACTGATAGTTCGTGCCCTCCCTCCCGAGATGACCCCCGAGACCGCCAGCAAGCGCACCCCCACGAGGCTCCAAGAGGCCCCCCAGAATCCCAACAGATGCCCCATATCGGCCCCTCAAACGGCTCCCAAGATGCAACATTCCTCACCCGTGGACTTCCGTTCTCCTCTGGGGGTCGGCGGAATAACGATTTTTTTTGCTCAAACCAAGGGTGTGCGAACACGGCGTGGTTTAACTTCTGCCTCCCAATGTCGCGCGCCAAAGGCTCACTTCGTTCCAAACGCACCATGGCGACTTTACCGCTCAAGCGACGCAAACTCGTCCGCATGGATGGCCAACGTCACCGCGCCCGCGCCTCTGCACCGGCCAGTCCTTTAATCGAAGAAGCAGCATGCAAAGACTGATATTCTAAGTCGTGCACGCTCAAAAGGGGCCTCTTGGGCCCCAACTCATCTTGGTGACCAGATCCATTCTGACAATCAAGATCTCGCTTGCTGGGATCGTTGGAGCAGCTGCGCGCGTCGGGGCTGACCTGTCCTTCAGATGGGGACTCAAGCGTGCTGAGCTGAAAATCCCAGTTCTGCGCGCGCGAGGGTCACTTCGAGCTTTTCAGCGCAGCATGGCGACATCTGTGGCGATGCAGAAACCGCTTGCAGAGGTGCATCGGCGACGCTGTGCGCGCGCGCTGGGACTGGGCCACCCTGCAGGGCTTCAGGGTCCGTCCGGGCTCCCAGCGCAACGTTGCGATTTCTGGAGAAACGAGGGGGGCAGGGCCAACGAGGAGGATGGAGACGGAGGGAGGTAAGAGGGAACAAGAGGATCACGATGAGAACGGTGTGGAGGAGTACGAGCCAAAGCAAGAGAAAGAGACGATCGGTTCCAACGACAATTCTGGTACTATCCCTCCCCCCCACTTCCGGAGGACGCTGCATAACAGCAGCGGCTGAGGTGATACGCGGGACTCCGCTTGGACTTACGCTACGATGTAGAAGGGGCATGATGATACTCAGGAGGGGAACAACTCCTTGATCGTGCTCCGATTGGGATATGTGGATGAGGAGAGAAATGACGACGCAGGTGCGGAATGCACCCTCATCGGAGGGGTGCAGACAGAAGCAAGGTCCATAGCGCGGGTCATTGCTGAGCGCAATAATAAATCCCCGAGGCGTGCGATGTGCCTTTGCAGACATTTATATGGCTGTGCATAAGGAAAACCCTGCAATCCTAATTCTTGCTCCACTTCACCATCACCATCCATCATGTTTCCATCATCCTTCAAATCCTCCTCTCTTCTAGCTCGTCATCCTCCACATCGCCCTTTGCAACAAACTTCGTTTGACGCGCACTTCAAAATTGCCGCAACTGTCGTGAACTCCTGGGAAGTACAACGGAATGTGGATGTTTGGCAGACCCAGGTGGGACCTCGCGCTGCGGGGAGACAGCCAGAGGGGGGGAGAGAACTAAGCACAAGCTGAACCATTTGAGGATGCAAGTCGAAGCTAAGCAAGCAAAGGAGGTTCCGTCACCGCTGGGTGTGACTTCCTGCATGAAGAAAACGATGTCTGACCAGGGAACAACCCTGCGAGGGGCTAGAAGTATACACTAAGCCGTCTGGACGGCCAAGGATCTTGGTGTATAGACGACCCAGCTTCCCAGCCCACATGGCGCTGGAACACCTATACACACCTAATTCCTTCGCCGAGCTCCCTGGACCCTTGGCCGACCAAACGACGTGGTGTATACATCGAGCCCCTCCAAAGCCCCCGCGCTCCTCCTTGATAGTGCCGACGAACTCGTTCGCGCCAAACTTGCGGCTGACGACCGCAGGGAGCACCTCCACGCACGTCTTCTGCGCCTCCAGGGGCAACCGCCGCTTCTCTAGACGCCCTCCCGAAAGACACCCCTCACTCTTGAGGGGCAAGAGACAGAAGTGGCTGCCCGCTCCCGAGTCTTGGATGCTCGTTTTGGAGACCTTTTCTGAAATCGATCGCTCAACTCCTGCGTTGCTGCTGCGACGAACCATCTTTCGACTCGAGTCGAACGTGAATCGAACTAGAGCCGAACACATCGGTTAGGTGGGCCCCAGAAGATCTCCCTCAACCAACATCTAACAAGTCTGCCTTCAACCTCCTTGCACGCCCCCGATATGGCAAGGATGCCACCATTATTGCCCATATCTCCGTTCGCTGCTTCAATCAATACTGCCTACTTGGGCCTCCATACGCGCCACTGTCGAGCTCGAAAATAAAAAACAAAAAAAACAGTCTACTAACCTCAGTGATAAGGGCGTGATGCGTCGGATGATTGGCCTCTTGGTCACTGGCAGACTCAAAATCAACGGCGATACCCCACAAGTCGACTCAAAATCAACGGCGATACCCCACAAACCAAATTTTGGCGATGTCCTCGTTCGCGACGTTTAGCATCACGTGCCAGCGACAACGACAGTGGAACTTGTAACTCCGCTCACCCTCATCCTCCTCGTCATCATCCTCGGCATTTAGCCGCATTCCCCTCTTCCACCCCACCCCTCCTCCTCCTGCTGCTCCCCCTCCTCCTCCTCCGACTATCATCCTCAAACCATCATCCGCTTCCTCTCGCTAGTGGCGTGGCCGGCTTCTCTCACACGCAGGGTGACGGCCCGCCCCCTCCTGCCCACCGTCATCCACATCCCTCTCCTCCTCCGAGCCCGCCTGCCTGTCTCATCCTTCACGCCCGGGCCCCCGGCTTGCACGCCCACCCTGCCCTTCCACGTCCGCCCCCTCCTCCTCCTCCTGCTCCTGCTCCTCCTCCTCCTCCTCCTCCTCCTCCTCCTCCTCCTCCTCTTCCTCCTCCTCCGCCCCCGCTGTCTACCTCCATCCCTCCTCCCCCTCCCCCGTCCTCCTCCCCCTCCCCCTCCTCTCCCCTCCTCCCCTCCCCCTCTCCCCCTCCTCCCCCCCCCTCCCCCTCCCCCCCTCCCCTCCTCCCTCCTCCCCCTCCCCTCCCCCCTCCTGCTCCTCCTCCTCCTCCTCCTCCTGCTCCTCCTCCTCCTCCTCCTCCTCCTCCTCCTCCTCCTCCTCCTCCTCCTCCGTCTCCTCCCTTTTCCGAGGATCACGTGCCCGCCGCGAGCGCGAGGAGGCCATGGGCCGCGTCCGCCGTGTCAGTGTGGGCCCTCATCTGCTGACACCGACCTGTGGTAGAGTCATCGTGCTACCCTGAGGAGCGCTGCATAAGGGCATTTTCTGGCCACGGCGACCCTTGGCCACGGAGAGTTTCCCCGACCTAGCGTCTTGACTGTATCTGGCTTCTTGCCACCTGAAGGGCAGGAACAAAGGCGAATTGGACTTGGAGAGGGAGAGTGATGAGTGGAGGATGGAGAGATAATCTTGGTGGGAGAGAGGGAGGCGGGGAGGAGGGAGAGAGGAGTGGAGGGTCAGGGAGGAGTGGTGTAGACTGCTGGGAAGCGAAGGGGGTGGAGATGGAGTGGGAACGACAACGATGACCATAACCAACACTAAACGTGGAAACGGCGGCTTCAATATCGGTATTCGTTCTTACTGGTGCACGTCAATTCGTGGATCATTCTCGCGAATCGGCGACGGCCGGCAATGTCCATGGCGTATGACCAACACCGGCGTCGACAATATCCCGCGACATCCGACTATCGGTCATACTGCGTTCTCTCGAGCACTCCCCCCCTGCAGACGCCTCCGCGAGGCGCCCCAGAGGCCCCGACAGGATACGATGCCATCTGGGAGCCCTCACTCACGACCCTCGTGCCTCGATCATTGTACCCCTAGAGAAGACTGAGGGAGGTCAAGTGAACGGCGGCTCCCCGCTGTGAGAGGCGGCGTCGATGGCCTTGGCAGCCTTCGAGGCATCCTGGCGCGGCCCGTGGAAACTGCGGCAACCACTGCGGCCCCTTGCTTCCTCCCTCTCCCCGACTCCTTCTCATCCATCATTCTGCCCTCCTCCTCCTCCTCCTCCTCCTCCCTCCTCCTCCTCCTCCTCCATTCCTCCTCTTGCCCGCTTTTTATCCACCCGTTTCATCGTATGTTTCCTCATCCCTCCGTCTCCTCAGCACGGTTTACCTAGTCCACCTCGTCAAGAACATCATCCTCCATCTGCTCTCCATTGGCAGGTAGCAGGGCGCGAGTCACATTAGATGATTGCGTTGCAAGCAATTCCGCTAAGCCTATCATCATATTAGCCAACTGCTGTCTTCTGGGGGATGTGAGCCAACTTACACTGACACAGAATCAAACTGTTGTTTTACGGATCTCGAAAGCAAGAGGAAAGCCCAACCGCATAGGCGGCTCTACCATATCCCGCTCCGCCCAGCCGAGCACGCAACGAAGCCTTGGGATGGCGGGCGCGGGAAGACGAGGGGGGAGGGAGGCGGAGGGAGGAGGAAGGAGGACAAGCTAGGCGCGCTGGCGCCACAGACCCCGTGCCATTGCGCTCAATCCTTTCTTTATCCGCTGACTGGGATGTCCTGGAGGACCCTGTATCCCCGTGTGGCCGTTGCAAGACTTGACGCATCGTTTGCTGCGCCGTCGGAAAAGAACGCTTTTGGACATTGGGGCTCCGCCTTGAACTTCCGCCACTGAACGCCACAAGCTAGACACGCCTGGGGCCGCGAGCTCTCAGCACTGCGGTATACAAGCCCAGGCTCAAGCATCTGAAGCGCGAAAAAAGGCAGGACACTGCAAGCGCGGGTTTGGGAGGGGCTCGATGTATACAACCCGCCGATGGGTCGGCCAATCAGCTCGGCATGGAGACTATGGATACATATATACATGAATATGCATATGTGTGTATGTATGTATGTTTACATGCATGCATGTATGCATGCATGCATGTTTACATGTTTGCAGGTGTGCAGGTGTGCATGTAAGCATGTAAGTATGTGTATGCGTATATATTCAAGTAGGTATGTATGCATGCATGTATGTATACGTGAATGTATGCATACATATCTATACGTATATAGAAATATAATCAAACACGTTTCTATGGCTTTACCCACACACTCGTATGTACAGCTGTGTATGTCTACATCTATCGATATATACAGGCACCAGTGCGCATACATGTATATGTATGTATGGGCGTGCGCATGTGCAAACATCAATCTAGCGAGAAACCGCAAGACAGAGAGGAACACTGATATGCGTGGTGTAGACACATGGAAAAGGTGTAGGTATATATTGATGCGTCGAGAGATAGAGAGAGGGGGTAGCAAAACAAAAACATCTACATAGTTGTCTTGGCACACCATATACATAATATTGAGAGGTGCAGCGATACAGAAATTACGGCACGTAGTGGACATGCGGCATTCACATGTATAAAGTGCTTGTGCATAGAACTCTGTTCAACGATAGACATATGTGAACCTATGGAAAGTGGAAGGGGCGGCACAGGACAACGGATGACGGCGAGGCGGGAGAGGAGGAAGCGAAGGCGTAAGACAAGTCCTCCCCACCATCAACATCACCATCACCATCATCATCACCATCGCCATCACCATCACCATCACCATCATAATCATTATCATCATCATCACCATCACCATCACCATCATCACCATCACCATCACCACCGCCGTCATCATCATCATCATCATCATCATCATCATCATCATCATCATCATCGTAGTCGTCATCATCATGATTCTTGCCCACTCCCTCTCCTCCACGCCACCGTTGCTCCTTGCACTGCTCCTCGCCAAAGGCCTCTGCAAAACGCCAAGAGAGGTGAATCCTTCTTCTTCTTCGACTTGACCTTCGTGCTGCTGCTCATCGCGGCCGCGGGCCCCGAAACGGGGGGGGGCTGGCCCGAGAGGGGGGCCGCGCCGGCCCGAGGGCCTGCCCCCCTGCGCGCGCCTCGAGGCGGCGGCCGACCTGCGCACGTGCGCGCCCGCCCGCGGGCGGCAGCAGCGGGGGCCGAGGGAAGGGGCGGGCAGGGGCGGCAGCGGGCAGCGGGGATGAGTCAGAAGCCAGGCGGAAGGCTGGCAAACCCGCGGCTGCTAAAACGGAGCTCGGGAAAACTGTTTTTTGCTTCCAGGGGGCAGCCCGCTTACTATGCAGCGCGAAGAGTCTTATTCCAATGATATGTTTTTTTCCGTTCGGGAAGAACGTTTTAGCAGCCACGGATTTGCCAGCCCTCGCCCAGCTGCCGAATGAGGGGGTGGAGACCAGGGCTTGACCCAACCAGCGTTTCTCGTGTTCGCGCTGTTTTCGTTTTTTCGCTCGATCTGTCGTCGTTCCACCTTCGCTGCAAAAGGAAAAAGCCCCCGAGGTCGCCAAAACACCGCTTACGTCGAGCCCTGGTGGGGATGATAGAAGTTGCGGGGATGGGGTGGGGATGGCGGGTGATGGGCAGGTGGGGATCGTGCGTGAGCGGGCAGCGGGCTGGCAACGGGGCTGGCGACGAGGAGACGTTGGGATGGCAGAGGGGGACCCGCGCGGCTTGACGGGCGCGGGTCGACGCCCCAAAGGGCCCGCGCCGACCGTGTGCCGCAAGGGCCGTGGCAGCTCCAGTTGTGTGTTCAGGGCCCCAGAAGGGGGTCGAGGGGAGGTGGAGGAGGTGGAGACAAGGGGATGGGGGCGGTGGTGCAGGATATCAGGGCCAGGCGATAGTTGGCGTCGCCCACGCGAGTGTGGCGCGAGGGGTGGGTGGGCTTCTGAGAAGGCCGCCTGGTCTCGGCGGAACTGCACTGCACTCGTGCACATGCACACAGTGGGGGGCGAAGAAGAGACGGGGGGCGAGAAGGACGAAGATGAGAAACGAAGAACGAAGAGTTAAGATGACGGGTCTGGAGGAGGCGGAGTCGAGGGAGGAGGACAGGAATGGGGAACACCTGTTGATGGAGAGAAAATGAAGAGCACACGTATGATAATAGAGACGGGGGATGGTGATGCAAGTGAGAATGATGGGACGGAAGAGGCAGGAACCAGGAGGATGGGGAAGAACACCATCACGGATAGAACACATACATAAAGGATGAGTCGAATGAGAGGGAACTGGGGAAGGACGGGGAGGAGACGAATGAGGATAGGAGGAGGAGCAGGAAGGATCAGGAGGAATAAGAGGATGAGAGGAGCGGTGGAGGAGGCGATGGAGCAGGTCTAGCCGGACGAGCACGAAGCACGTAGTAAGAATGATATCATGGGCCATCTTGTTAGTAGCAATCACAGTGGTCACAAACCTTACACTCGAAGCAATAGTACTGGGTCAGATCCACTAGTCCTAGCAGCAGCATGTGCAATAGCATGGCTTGAGCAATAATCACACCAATGGTACTGCGAAACATGCTTCCATTGCGTGCGTTGGTCCACAATCCGCCGACCCTCGTCTGCCAGAGGGTGACAAAACGCGCAAGATGTGTTGTTTTTGTCTTCCCAGTGCCCCCCTCCCCAGATGTCCAAGATCCCGTGCTCGGGGGGGGGCGGGCGGGAGGTCGGGCTGGAGCGACGAGCATGTGTCTCCTGCGCTGCTTCGGAAGGAACAAAGAAAGCGGAGAGAAATGATGGCGCGACGAAGCCTGGTGGTTCCGAGCTGAAGGCAGACAGCCTGAAGTAGCCCCCGGACTCGGGCAGAGGGGGAAGGGTTGCGACGACGAGCGAACCAACGAAACACCGATGCGTCTAAACCTGTTCAAGACTGCCGTCGGAACTCGATGCGGCCTGTTGCGTCTAGAAGCTAGATGCGCAACTCGAAGGCCAGTTCTGCAGGCCTTCGACAGCCAGACGTAGCCAAAACGCGTGAGATGCCCCTGAAATTCCCCAGGAGACCGTGCACCACTTCTCAATCACGCTGAAACATCTCAGTAGCATGGCCCTGATATTCTACATCCGTGCACATGGGGGAACGTTAGGGGGGGTCAGCTCATGGGGGTGAAACACCAAGCTGTAACCAACCAATCGGAGATAGGCCCAAAATAATGAATCTGCGCGTTTCTGGGTTACCCCCCCTGAACATGTTACCCTTGCCCCATGCTGCCTGAAAGAGACACCAACACAACAGCAACGAACGATAGGCCCACCGAGGCCCAGAAACGTCCCAACTGACTCCAAACGGCGGCCCCCCAAGACAGCCCGAAAGACTCACCGCCCAGCCTGAATCCCGAGAGCAGGGCAAAACTCTCGACCAAACGGCCCAAAACCTGATCCATCAAGCCGACCTGGGAGAGCTTGGGGAAAACCATGACGTCCACGACTGCCTGGGACGGAGGCTGCCGAAGGTACTCAGTAAAAGCAGCCAAGCACTAGAAACCCCGAAGATCCCCAGAAGGACCCGCCAGCATTAAACCCAACGACACGGCAAGCCGTTTCGAGAGACTCGATGTTTCTTCACCCATCCGCGTCTATCGTGGTGTTGACTCCCGGACAGCCTCGAAATCGTCCTGTCTGGCCGTTTTCGGAAGCACGGTCGAACCATAGGTTACCCAACTTCGCGCATCGCGCCATGCGCTTGCCAGGCGGGGCGCCAGAGGTGCTGTCAGGGTGGGCCACGGAGCCCTGGCCCAAGAACTCCGCGCGGACCTTCGAGCGTTGTTGTTGTTCGTATGTAAGTAGTTGCTTATTATTCGTTTTCTTCTTCGCCGGATAATGACGAAGAGGGGGTTGGCCATTGGAGGGTTTAGCGAATCAGCTCACGCAGCCGGTTGCTCCAGTGCCTCCGGGCGCCGGGAGGCGCCCGTACATGAAGGAGAGCGCCCGGCGGCGGCGCCGAAACCAGCTGTATGCAGCAGATTTGGGAGGCCAGCCCACAAGAAACCTTACACAAGAAACCCAACCATGAGAACCCAGGACGTCCATCGGTTTTTAGCGTGGGAGCGTCGCGCCCTCCACAGCAAAAGCGTCGAAACCCAAGAACCCCAGGGCACCCTGGAGGCAAGCAGGGTGTTTCTTGGCCTGCGTCTTCACTGTACCCCCCCCCGCGCCCCCCCGCTCTCTCTGTCCCCCGTCTCGCCCGACCTGGTGGGGTGACCTCGGCAGGAGCGGGCACGGAAGCGGCGGAGGGGTTTAGCCAGGGGGGGCGGCGGGTCCTGTGGGAAACGGGTCCTGGAGACCGCGGGGCCTTCTCCCAGGACGAGTCTTTCGTCCCGAGTCGTTTCCTGACCGTCCCGATGCCCGTGAAGAGCCCCGAGAGCCCACGAACGGCGAAACACATGAGGACCCGCCTCCCACCCGTTTCTCTAGAGGCCTCCTAGATGGGGTCCGAGTAGATGGCGTCGAAGGATCGCGCCGCATCGCCAATGCATCGGCGATGCATCGGCGATCCACTGGCGACGCTGGCGATGCATCGGCGCCGTCTGCGCGAAGAAAACCAGGCTCCGCGTCGAACCGCATCGCCGACTGCGTCGGCGATGCGGCGCGATCCTCCGACCCCGTCCACTTGGAACCCACATGGCAAGAGAGTCCATAATCGAATCGACAAGTCGGATCGGCGATCGAAACGAATCGGATCGGAGGACATCGGCAACCAAGTCGGGAAAAGTCGAATCGACGGAAATCGGCAGGCTGGTATGCCTCCAATGAGAAATCGGAGGCCAAATCGGAATCCGAAGCCGAATCGAATCGGATGGGAAGCCACCGAAATCGAATCGAATCGAATCGAGGAATCGAAATGCGCCCTGGCAAGGGATGCCCAGGAGCCTCTCCCGTGGCGAGGACGGGGCGCGGCGCCGCCCGAGTCCGAGGCGCGCGGCCGCCAGCTCGCCCCCGGGGACGTCACACCTGCGGCGCCGGGCGGGGGGGGGCGGCATCTCTCCTCCTCATCCTCCTCCTTCTCCTCCTCCTCCTCTACATTTACTCAATATGAATACTACTCTCCTCCTTCCCCTGATGACGGGTTGGGAGTGTTCGTCCCCCCCCCCCGCGATCTGTTTTTTAACACACAGGATTCCCCGGAGTTGGGTTTTCGTCTGCATTTTTTTCAAAATGCTGCTCTCGCTGAGGCGCCGGCCTCATTTTCGGGCCCAGATCGTTCCGAATCGTGCTCCCGCTGCAGCGCTGGCATCATTTCAGTGCTTTCGCTCGTTCCAAATCGTGCTCCCGCTGCAGCGATGGCCTCATTTCCGCGCTTCCGCTCGTTCCGAATCGTGCTCCCGCTGCAGCGCTGGCGTCATTTCCCGTGCCATGCCACGGCATGCAATGCAATGCTAGGTTGCGTTCCGCTGCGCGATGCCATACCTTCAGCTGAAGCTGTGATATGCAGCGCTTAAGTGCCACGTCGTGCTATGCCATGCTACGCTTTGATCTTCAACGCCGTGCTATGCAATGTTATGTTCGGGGCCGCTGTGCGATGCCATGCTTTGCGTTGCAAAGCTTTGTGATGCAATTCTTCACTACGCCACACGCCATGCTGTGATATGACACACGAGGGGGGGGGGGGAGGGTAGGACGTCAGATATGACACGAGCGCACCTAGTTTGTTCTCCTCCCCTCCCCTCCCCCCTCCACTCCTCCTCCTCCTTCTCCTGCTCCTCCTCCTCCTCCTCCTCTTCTTCCTCCTCCCCCTCCCCCTCCCCATCCCCCCTCCTCCTCTTCCTCCTCTTCCTCCTCTTCCTCTTCCTCCTCCTCCTCCTCCTCGGGGTCGTCCAAAGAGAAGGGCATCCAGGAGTAGAGAGCCGAGCATCCACTCGCATAAGAATCACCCCGGCGAGTGAAGCCGTTCAAGTGACGCGCCCAAGAAAGGGGGCAAGGCTGTTTCGTGAACGCCTAATATCAGGGTCGGAGTGATGTTTCCCTCCCCTGGAAGAGGGGTGGAGTCGCAAAACATAGCCCAAGCACTTGCGCGGACAAGAAGCAAGGCCCGGGGGCGTGTGGAAGTAAGAATAGGGGAGAGATCTGAGGAGATGGCATGGCCCCTCCCATGGTATCCACCCCCCACTCGTCTTCACCCCCGTCTTGGCCGTCCCCGAACTTCTCGCGCGGCGGGTGCCCTTACGAGATGAGACATCGAGGATCGGAGGTCCAAGCTCGAACCATCTCTTTGCGTGCACAATGCTAACCCGTGCTCGATCAGGATCTTCAAGGCGTCGAAGGATCTGGAAGAAGGCCAGAGAACACCAGCAGAGCTGGGGCAGGGGAGCAAACACGAGGGGAATAAGCAATGACATTAACATGAATTTTCGGATGTCCCCGCCGATATCTCGGATCGGCGCTGGGGCCCCCTGGCGGCACCTCCGGCGCAGCCCCTGGCGCGTTCCGCGCGCCAGGGATGGGGGTCCAGCGCAAATCCCAGAAATCCGCGCGGAGCGCCAACTGTTTGTGCTTGTGGCGCTTCTTTTTACTCTAGGGATCAGAAGATCGCGCCGCATCGCCGATTCGTCGGCGATGCGGTTCGATGCGGAGCCCAGTTTTCTCCCCGCAGACGGCGCCGATGCATCGCCGACGTCGCCAGTGCATCGCACATGCGGCCTCCATCCGTCCCCCGGAACATGTGTTCGTATTGTGGTCAAGTAAGGGATGCAAAGAATGCCGACATACCTCTGCCAAGTAGTCGCCGTCGCTTACCTTGACCCGTACCCTTACCTCTACCCTGACCATTTCACCTAAACGCCCGTCGGGTGGCACGTCGCTAGGAATAACCACTGCGGCTATTGCTCTTCAGTGAAATGCACAGGCATGTCGGAGTAATCCACTGCACCAGTTCCCTCATCTGATGAGGTGTCGGTGTCGGTACCAGAATCAAATTCAGGCTCGGCGGGTTGCCCCGCAGAGCCTACAAGGGTAATTGCTTGAGCAGGGGCCGCCGTTGCCGACTGGCCCTGGTAACGAACCCGACTGTTGCTGTGTCCTTGGCATTTGGGCGGTGGGTGGTTGTACTAGTTGTTGTGTACGCGACGTACCCACACCCAGAGCTCTCAACAGGATGACTGGTAGGATCTGGAAACTGGGGGTATTGAGGCTTGCGGTCTCGGCCCCGAAGCGTGCTACGTATCTCAAAACGTGCGGACATCTGGTCGATCCGCCGTCCCGCATGGGCGCGAAAGTCGATGAGAGCCGTTCCTGAATTAAGTTGGCGCTTCTCTGAACTGTCGAGCTTCATGCTGAGGAAGAACATGATGTAGGTGACGCCGTCGGCATGGCGACCACCGACCGATACTCACGTAAAGATTACTGATTCCGGAAGGTACTCTCATGGCGATGGTCATTGCGAGCCCCCCCAGACCACGCTGTAATGCCGCGGCAACTTGGGAGGGGGTCGTGGTGCCTGTGGTCACGTTGATCCAGGCGTGTACCTCGCGAACGAATGCGGAAAAAATACATCACAGGCAGGGCCCCAGTGGGGGCCGGCAGTGCGCGCGTCGTTTCCGCAACGCTGCACGTGCCCAACAGCGCACCCGATAGCGACCCATAGGAGGCCAAATCTGGCAATACCGATCCAGGGGCCCCTTAGATCGTGGTCGGATATTTGTGGCTGTGGGTTACGATGTGTCGTCGTTAACCTGCGTGGGGGGGGAGGTGGCGCAGTGTCGTATCGCATGTTGCCATGCATTGCGTCTTCAAAATAGTTCCCACTTGGAGCAGGAGGGTTGACTTCAGGAGCGTAGTAGCGCAAGGAAGTAAGACTCATGTAAGAAGCCTCATCGAGAACGGAGGTAGCGCTGCAAGTGTCCTTGCGGTTGTGCGTAGATATGTACATTCCTCCGCGCAAACCCACTGCGCCCTAATGTTCAACCATGCCAGTCGTCCACCAGATAGTGCCGTGGATGGTGAGGAGTAAAGCTAGAGTTGACCGTCATAGGCCAGCTCCGCTAACAAGTTTGCCAACCAGCAGCTCAACCAGAAGCTTCGCCGAAGGCGAAGCCCATGTCCAACTCTGTTGTTTCGTAGTAGCGACAGTCCCAGAAGTGAGAGATCGTCGCGGGAGCGACGGGCCATGTCAAGCGAATATGGTTTCGGCCTCAATGGCACATCGTGCGCCTCGCGAGTTGGCACAGCCATATGTTGGCGGCCGGCCGCTTGAGAACAAACGGCCGCGGACAAACGCTCGCTATCTCTCGCCTTTGCCCGAGCCTCCTTTGGAGTGAGATGGCCCCAAGAGAGCCCAAGATAGCCCCAATAGTGCCTCCGAAAACGCCCCAAGATGCCTCCAAAACCGCAAAGATGATCCGAAAGAGCCCAAGACGGCCGAAGAAGCGCCCAAGAGGCGCCTACGACGGCCCAAGAAGCCTCCCAAAGGGCACTGATTGTCCTTAAGTTTTTGAAGGTGGTTGGCGTTTGCATGATTTCGGTTCTCGGAGGACCCAAGACGGCCCAGGAGGCCACCAAGATCGTGCCAGATCGCCTAAGAGGCGTCCAAGATGGCCCCACGACGGCCCAAGAGGCTTCCAAGACGGCCCCAGGACGGCCCAAGAGGCCTCCATGACGTTGAAGATGGCCTCCAAGACGGCTCTCAAGCGTCCCAGGAGAGCCCCAAGTCGGTTCAGGGAGGCATCCAAGACGGCCTCCGACGGCGTCAGACGGGCCAGGAACGCCATAAGACAGCCGAACAGGCCTCCAAAAAGCCCTCCAAAGCCTCCAAGATGCCCAAGGAGGCCCCCAAGGACCTCCAAAAGGCTCCCAGGAAGCTCCCAGGAGGTCCAAAGAGTGGTCCCAGAAGCTCCCACGATGCCTCTTCCTGCCTCACGTCTGTTTCAACTGTTTCCTCCCTCTCCTCCTCGTCCTCGTCTGCCTCCCCCACGTGTGCCCCGAAGGGCTTTCACAACGGCTAGGGGAGCGCATGGTCCGATAGCGTGGTCAAGCGTTGCCCAGACGTTTGGCCTCGTAGGCGTACCATCAAAGGCAGGGGACGACGGTGATTCGCAGTAGGCGTCTTTGATCGATTCCTATACATATGTATATATATAGACATTGCACAACATATGTTACATCACGCAGGTTGTACAACACAGAGTGCACCACATATATTTCACAACATACATTGCCCCACATACAGTGGAACACATGCGCTGCACATCATATAGCGCTCTACATAGACTGCTCCACAAATATTGCACGCAATACAATGCACGATAAATATTGCCTCGCATATGATGCAACGCATAACTTTCTCGACATGCATTGCACAATATAGGTCGCACAACATATTGAGCACGCTACAAACACACACTGTTTGGGGTCCACGCGGGCTAACATTATCAATGCAATTTTATGCGGGGCAATCTAGACGGTGCCAAGCAACGGGGTGACAACATAGCCGCCAGACTGCCACACTGACCCATACAACGGACGGCGACGAGGCGGCGACGAAACGGCAACGGCGACTACATACCGGCCCAGACGACGGGCGGCGACGAAGCGGCGACGGCGATCACATAGCGCCCAGAGCGGCACACCAGCCCAATTCCTTGGAACAGAAGAAAGGACCCTTAAGTGCAAGCACTGTTTGGGGAATTCAATCAGTCATCTTACCAACCTGCGCAACGATGCCGCCGAGCCTGCGTGAACGCGACAACCCATGACTGAAGGCATGTCTAGTTAGGCATGCATCCCAACAATATGGCGAAGAGATCGGTGCACCGTATCGTCGTGGTACATCCACCGAGACCTCGCACGATGCGCAGAGAGAAGATTCCATCGCAACACCAAGCGATGGCTGCGATGGTCTACCATCCCTGAACACATGCCCACCAAAGGTATAAGCATTACCCAGAACGCACCGAGAAGGCGGACGAGGAATATTAAGACGAGGGGACGACCTCAACGAAGATGACGACAACGAGAAGGAATGAGATTGTCGTCGTACTTCCACCAGGACATCGCGTGGTGCACGGGAAGTCGATCACACCATAGCACAGGAGATCCGACGATGTGGCATCGTTGAAGATGGCGGAGGGGGAGCACAATGGCGACGAGGACGGGGAAAAGGAGCAAGAAGATGAAGAGGCGACGTGATGGATGCAGAAGGGCTAAGGATGGCGGAGGGGGGATGAGATGAAGAGATAAGTGAGGTGACAACATGGGCGGAGAAAGACACAAGTATAAAAGATGGACGGATATTGCAAGAAGATAGGGGTGATCCGACGACCCACCTTGCGAGGGCCATCGGGCTGCTAACATCTGCGCAACCTCATGTCAAGAACTAAGGAAACACATCGCACGACTTCAACACCCTCAGGATGTCAGCAGCATGGCAATCGTGATTTACGATCACCAGTTTGCGAAACACTGAACTGATTGGCTCTCAGAAAACGCGAGACTCTGCGTCTCTAGAGTCCGAAAACATCATCCCTCGGCACATACACATCATCGGCTAGAAACACCACACCTCAGTTAGAAAACATCATCCCGATGCAAAAGCGACGCGGAACGAGTATGGATCCGCGTTTGGGGGCATGACCCCTTGCACAAGACACGAAACTCTACATCAATTCCTTCGATGCCACGATCCATCACAAAACAAATCCGTGCACTCGAAACCACAATCCCCAATTACCACATGTCCTGCGCCCTCGAGGTAACGCAGAATTCCGTTAAACCATGAGTCCGCGGCTTCGAAGCCACGTCTCCTTGCACAGCACCAGCGGGGTTGCACCTTCGAAGACAAAAGCCCTGACACAAAAACGAAGAGTACGCACGGTCGACGCCACGATCACTGGCAAACCAATATGGATATGCGCCTTCAAAGCCACGAAACCTAGACACAAAACAGAAGGAGTCCACGCCTTCGAGGGGGCGAACCTCGTAAACATACCGGAACCGCGACTTCGAAGCCACTATCCCGTTGACAGCACAAACATGGAACCGCGCCTTCGAGGCACAAGCCCATCCAACGAACGACGGATCCGCGGCGTTGAGGCCTTGATCCCTCGTAGAGAAGATATGGGCCGCACATTGCGGCCACGATCTGCGACACAAGGAACTGTGATGCCGCACCTTCGAGGCCACGGTCCGCGGTAGCAAATAGGCCAGCGCGTTCGAGGCCAGGATCCCTTTGTACCACGCGACTGGCCCGCGCATTCGAGGCTCCGATCCATTGTCCATCTGATAGTCCAGCGAGGGGCCCACATGTCCATGTGTTGGGGATAGGATGAAAAGTCTGGGATAGAAACACGCTTGAGGAACAGAGAACTGAAGAGAGACGAGGACGATGGATGACAATAATGCAGCAGGGGACAGAATCAGAGAAGGTGGAGATGTAAAGGGGCTTGGAGAATGATGAACAAGGAGGGAGGAGACGACGGCGACACCGACGACAACGACAATGAGCCCTCCTGTGAAAACAAAACAATGTATAACCTCCCCGACCCTCCCCATGCCACCAAACGCCGCGGAACAGATCTCGAAACCTAACCCTCCACTCCTCCATCCCTCCATCTCGCATTCCCTCGTCGTCATCAACATTATGCTGATAACTCGTCGTGCTCCTCATCAAAGCGCGACTCCTCTCTCCCGCGCAGGGTGGAGGAGGATCATGAGGTTGAAGAAGAAGCAAAGGCAAAAGGGGGAGGACCAACGAACACCCAAGACGCATCACAGACGTTGCAATACACATACCGTCCCAAGGCTCCTCCAATAAGCCCTTCTCCGATAAGTCCCTCTACGTGTTCGTTTCCACTGCGGGAAGCGCCTTCGCTGACAAATCCCTCCCTTCTACAAGAAAGAAAGGGAATCTCATCCGCCCTGGACAAGTGACTGTAATCCAATCGCGAATGTCAGGGATGCACAACTTCAGAACAACAATATGGCCATTAAAACTGCGGAAATATGTAACGAACACAACACGTACAGCACGTAACCAAATGATCCGCCCTCCATCCGTGCAACTACTGTCCGAATTCAGACGTGAGGCCCAAATGTGAGTGGGAATCCCTTTTCGAAAACGAATGGAACAGGTAAGATGTTGAATACATGTTGCAGTTCGACGGCGTTCGAGGGAAAGTGGCCCGAACCTGGTGCAACAAGCGGGAAAACTCCAAACACCGACCGCACCCATCGTCCGCAGCCAGACAGAAGGCCCTGCACCCTTTAGCAACTGTTTTTTGGGGAAACAAACAAACCATCATGCTGGCAAAGGGCCTAATCATACGCAGTTGTGAATACGTCGTTGCGGGTATCGCCTTCGGGGGGATATCCTCATGGGGCCATGAAGCATGCGAAGGGTGTGCCGGTATGGGGCGGGGCCGACACGTGCGCACTGCCACTGGGGCTCTACGCGGAGACCACGAAACGTGTGAGGGATGCGCCGCCATGCGGCGAGGCCGCCACTGGGGCCTTCGGAGGAGCTCCATATGCGGCCACGAAGCACTGTCGCGGGCGGGGGAAACCGCATGCGAATGCAGCCACTGGGGCCTTCGGAGGAGATCCCTATAGGGCCACGAAGCGCTGTACTGGATGGTGGAACCGCATGCGAGTGCAGCCACTGGGGCCTTCGGAGGAGCTCCCCACGGGGCCACGAAGCGCTGTACTGGGCGGGTGACCCGCACGCGAGTGAAGCCACTGGGGCCTTCGGAGGAGCTCCCTATGGGGCCACGAAGCGCTGTGCTGGGTGGGGGCAACCGCATGTGAGTGCAGCCACTGGGGCCTTCGGAGGAACTCCCCACGGGGCCACGAAACGTCGTACGGGATGGGGGGAGCCGAATGCGAGCGCAGCCATTGGGGCCTGCGGAGGAGCTCCCTATGCGGCCACGAAACGCTGTCGCGGGCGGGGGGACCGCATGCGAGTGCAGCCGCCGGGGCCTCCAGAGGAAATCCCTATGGGGCCACGAAGCGCTGTACTGGATGGCGGAACCGCATGCGAGTGCAGCCACTGGGGCCTTCGGAGGAGCTCCCCACGGGGCCACGAAACGCTGTACTGGGCAGGGAAACCGCATGCGAATGCAGCCGCTGGGGCCTTCGGAGGAGCTCCCCACGGGGCCACGAAGCGCTGTGCTGGGTGGGGGGAGCCGCATGCGAGAGCAGCCACTGGGGCCTTCGGGGGAGCTCCCCACGGGGCCACGAAACGTTGTACGGCGCAAACGCACGCGAGTGCAGCCAGTGGGGCCTTGGGGGGAGCTCCCTACGCGGCCACAAATAAGTGGGTGGGGGGCAACATGCGAGTACAGCCCAGGGGCCTTCGGCGGAACTCCCTATGCGGCCGCGAAGCGTTGTGTGGGGCGGGGGGCCCGCATGCGAGCGAAGCCACTGGGGCCTTCGGAAGACTCCCTAAGGGACCACAAAGCGCTGTCCAGGGGGGGGGAGCCGCATGCGAGTGCAGCCAGTGGGGCCTGCGGAGGGACTCCCTGTGCGGCCACGAAACATTGTGCGGGGTGGGGTAAGCCGCGTGCGAGCGCAGCCACTGGAGCCTTCGGAGGAGCTGTTATATGCGGCCACGAAACGCTGAAGCGGGCGGGGGAACTCCATGCGAGTGCATCCGTTGGGGCCTTCGGAGGAGCTCCCTATGGAGCCACGAAGCGCGGTGCTGGGTGGTGGAACCGCATGTGAGTGCAGCCGCTGGGGCCTTCGGAGGAGCTCCCCACGGGGCCACGAAGCGCTGTCGCGGGCAGGGGGACCGCATGCCAGTGCAGCCACTGGGGCCTTCGGGGGAGCTCCCAATGCGGCCGCGAAGCGCTGTCCTGGGTGGGGGGAACCGATTGCGAGCGCAGCCACTGGGGCCTTCGGCGGAACTCCCAATGCGGCCGCGAAGCCTTGTGCGGGGGGGGGAGACATGCGAGCGCAACCACTGGGGCCTTCGGAGGGGCTCCGTATGCCGCCACAAAACGTTGTAGCGGGCGGGGGGACCGCAGGCGAGTGCAGCCAGAGGGGCCTTCGGAGGAACTCCCTATGGGGCCACGAAGCGCTGTGCTGGGTGGGGGGAACCGCATTCGAGTGCAGCCGCTGGGGCCTTCGGAGGAGCTCCCCACGGTGCCGCGAAGCGCTGTGCTGGGCTGGGGAAACGAAGCCGCTGGGGCCTTCGGAGGAGCTCCCCACGGGGCCACGACGCGCTGTGCTGGGTGGGGGGAGCCGCATGCGAGTGCAGCCAGTGGGGCCTTCGGGGGAGCCCCCTATGTGACCACAAAGCACTGTGCTGGGCGGTGGGCCGCATGCGAGCGAAGCCCATGGGGCCTTGGGAGGACCTCCCTAAGGGGCCACGAAACGCTGCGCTGGGTGGGGGGAACCGCATGCGAGTTCAGCCACTGCTTCCTTCGGAGGAGCTCCGTATGCGGCCACGAAACGTTGTGCGGGGTTGGGGAAGCCGCCTGCGAGTGCAGCCACTGGAACCTTCGGAGGAGCCCCCTATGGGACTACGAAGCGCTGTCGCGGGTGGGGAACCGCATGCGAGTGCAGCCACTGGGGCCTTCGGAAGAGCTCCTATGTGGCCACGAAGCGCTGTGCTGGGCGGGGAAAACCGCATGCGAGTGCAGCCACTGGGGCCTTCAGGGGAGCCCCCTATGCGGCCGCGAAGCGTTGTGCGGGGCGGTGGGGGGGTGGGGGGGGGTGGGGGGGGGCGCATGCGAGTGCAGCCGCAGGGGCCTACGGAGGAGATCCCTATAGGGCCACGAAGCGCTGTGCTGGGTGGTGGAGCCGCATGCGAGTGCAGCTACTGGAGCCTTCGGAAGAGCTCCTCAC